GCTTGCCCGTAAGTGAATGTGATAGAGGAATAGAAAGAGAACGCTGCATATGGGCTCCTGGGTACCTATTACGGTTATTTGAGTGAGTTTGCTCACGAGATAAAAATCACAAAAATGAGAGATTCACTAGATTTTGACCAATAGAAGCGTAGACAACCTAGTGAATCTCTCACTTTTGTGATTTTCACCTCGTGAGCAAACTCACCCAAAGAATCGTAATAAGTGCCCTGCTGTTTTGTCTAATCGCGCATGCGCATGGCACACGTCCCCTTTCACTCCTGCTCATCTCTATGCTTGCTTCTTCTTTACAAATTATACACTTTTTTGTCATCTTGAAAGTTTGTTATATTAACTTGTTATAAAAACGTAAATCTTCTTCTTATTCTGCTAACACTTGAGCAAAGCAAAGCAAGCACGAGAACTATAGCCGAGCCTGTTGAGAGCATAGAGATGAGCAGAGTGAGAAGAGGGATGTGTGCCATGCGCATACACGATTAGACAAGGACAGCAGGGGCCCATATGCAGCGTTCTCTTTCTATTTCTCTATCGCGCTCTCTAAAGTCATTAGCACAGTATATGTATAACCAGTAGCGTCACTCAAGAAAAATAGCGTCGGAGAAATGCTACGGCGCATGCGTTGGATTACTATCCACAATATGGTGTACAGTGAGTTGTAAACACAGTAAGTGGTGGTTGTGTTTATCAAAATAAATATAGCCTATTAATGAATTCAAGTTAATTAAAGGACTCTGTTAAGTTTTAGGTCTGAAAATATTTTTAAAAAACATTGTTATAATAATGGAACGTCGCGTAGTTGTTGGTGGTTTCACGTGCGCAATGCAAGATTGCAATGAAAATTCCGGCTCCAGTCGTCACTTGAGCTTTTTTCGCTTTCCATCTCATCCAGAAAGGTATTAATTGTTTGACAATTTCCTATATACGTATATATAAAATTTAATTGTTTCTAAAATTACAATAACATTTATTCTAGAGCACAATTGCTACATATATATATATGTGTGTGTGTTAAAGATGCAGAAAATGTCTAATTTTTGTTTTTTCTAAACATTATAATATTAAAAATATTAATAAAAAGTGTTTTATTTTATAATTAATATTGTTTTCTAGGTGACTGAATTCCTGTTCAATTATTCAACACATACCTATCCACAAAATGGAGCTTATCTTATAAGTATTCATACGTATTCATAATAACAAGACAGAAATCAATTTAAGTACATTAAATAGATAAACAATAATACACCTGATAATATAAAACAAATTAGTCTTTTATAACCAATTGTAAATTACATAGAATTGTTATATACATTTATTTATTATCAATTTTTATATACATCTAAAATTTGAGATTTCGTATTTTTGAAGAGTATAACAAAAAATTGGAATCATTGATCACGAATTTATCGTAATTTTACACATTATATACATTTCAATTGTAAATAATCTAAATGTACATCAATATGTTTATAAATAAAATGGCAATAATAAATATGTTACTTGTTTAATATAAATAATTCATTAAATAATACACAAACATAATAAAAAATAATTTATTAAATAACACATAGGTATATTTTAATATTATTACTTGTTAAATTTCTTCTTTTTTTATGTTTATATGATTATTTGCGTTACTTTAATGTTACATATATAATATGTATTTCAAGAAAATATACATTGTGGTTATTTATACAATAATTGTCTGCACAATTATAAAAATAATTGTTTATATATAGTTGCCTTTCTTTCTCACAATTTAAATATAAGCGCGCTATTACTATCAAGAACATGGCGACATGTCACATGGGCCAGTATTCATAGTCAGATCTTATATTTAAGATCGTCTTAAGATCTCGTTCAACCAATCAAATGACGTTATACGGCTATTTGATTGGTTAAACGAGATCTTAAGACGATCTTAAATATAAGATCTGACTATGAATACCGGCCATGGGGTGCATTCGTTTATGCAGCGATTAGCGCATCCACTGCGCATCTACTGCGTCTATTATCTGCGAGTCACGTGACATCATTTACCGAACGATCACCTGCGTGAATTGACTGCTCAGATTGTAATTGGAGTGCGTAAGTAAAGAAATTTTAAATAAATATGAATTAACTCAGAAATAAATATTTTTTATTGGCTCTCAATATAAACAATATAAATATGATGGTTTCTAAATTGGCCTAAGAGCCATAGCACGAAAAATTACGAAAATTAATTATTCGGAACTGTATTTCTTGGTACGAGATTACTAAAGTTCCATATATTAATTAACCTCGAACTTACATATGGAGAAATAGGCGCGAAAAATATAGGTCCGAAAAGTCGCTGATGCGGGAATCAAACCCGCGTCTTTCACTTTCCGGGCGACTGCTCTTACCACTAAGCTATTCAGACTTTTCGGATCTATATTTTTCGTGCCTATTTCTCCATATGTAAGTTCGAGGTTAATTAATATATGGAACTTTAGTAATCTCGTACCAAGAGATACAGTTCCGAATAATTAATTTTCGTAATTTTTCGTGCTATGGCTCTTAGGCCGATTTAGAAACCATCATATTTATATTAAATATGAATTATTATTTGAATAAATATAATAAAATTTTTAAATAGATTGAAGGTTCTGACATATGACGTGTGCACATAACATTTTCAGACAGTGATGACAGTAGGATTGAAATGTTGCTGAATGTAGACTTCTCAGATTTTTCCAAACTAACTGGGGACGAAGTAGCTTGATAGCTAGGAATGACTGTAACAGAATTGCATCTTTATACAAAAGCACATTTTTTTTTTAAACAGATTACTTTAAATTTATATTCTTGATAAAAATGCATTTTTAAGTTAATTGGATCGTAAATATAAATTAACAGATTTCATAATTTTATTGTATTACTTACCTTGCATTACTTTTAGTTTTGTAGGATCTATTTGGAGGAGTTGTTCTCCACCTTCTTTGTTCTGAACTTTTATAACATAACTTATAATTGAAATAATTTTCAGACAACGTTTCCAAGTTCAATTGGCTTAACAATGGAGAAGACTACATTCGTTTACGCAGTAGTCCGCAGTACTGCGAGCAGAGCATCCTGAGCAGGACCTCCGAGATGGCTGCGCAGATAGGCAGCAGCTCTGCTTAAACGAACAACAAACTGCGCTGCAGTCGGTTGCGCAGGTGGAGTAAACGAACGACATCTGCGGCATTCTGCGGCAGTCTCTGCATAAACGAATGCACCCATGATTTCGGACACTGACATCAAAAGAACCGACACGAAGTGCCGCTACTGGTTATACATATACTGTGTCATTAGATTACAAAGTACCGCAATTCATAAGATACATGGGAGTCAAGATGGTGTCGAAAAGTGTAGATAGTGTATACATTGTGTAAATTATCTCTACTTTAAGTGCAGTCTTTATAACCTGTTATAACCTTCTTCGCACATGAAGAGAAATAAGAGGTATCAAGATGCTAGGTTGTTGTGTTAAAGACTGCAATAATCGCAGCGAAAGATAATTTTCTGCGAGATTTTATGGAGATTGTTCGAGGAATTACAGTCTCGAACGGAGGATGGAAACCTTTTCAAAGCGGTTTATTACTTTGTACTCAGACTGCTCTAGATGTGCAAACTCTATATTTAGAAAAACACAATTTCAAGTATTTATTATTAGAAAGGTTCACTCAAGATGCCTTAGAAAATCTATTTTCACAAATTCGAGGGAAAAAATCTGTACCGGACGCTCGTGAATTTAAACAAACGTTTAGACTTGTTTGTTTATCACAATATCAGGCAAATATTAATCGTAGTAACTATTCTGTTATTGACTCTAATGATCTTATTACTTATTGTAATGAAATAAAACAATTAGATTCTAGAAATTCCTCTGCAGAAGAGAGATGTCTGCAGAGCAATGAAAATTTATGGGATATAAATATATATCAATCATTGCTTGGAAATGAAAAGAAAACTGATTTAAATAATACAGTTCAAGCTGCATTATATTATTTAATAGGTGCATTATTATTTAAAATACAGAAAAATTTTACACATTGCAATAATTGTTTTAATGTTCTTGTGACTACGAATGATTCTAACAACAATTCTAGCTACAATAATCTAAGTTTTTATACAAAGTTAAGAGAATATAAAGAAAATATTTTAATATTTCCAAGCGTGGAGATATATAATTTAATATATAAGTGCGAACTATTATTTCGGAAAAATGAGACTAATTTACTTTTTAATGTATTAAAAGTAAATGATTTTATAACAATGTTTTTACAAGAATATTCGATAAATTTTATTCCTTCGTGTCATAATATTGGTTATAAATTTATAAAAAATTTTGTAATAACAAGAATTCATTTTTCATTAAAAAAAGTAAGCAGTAATGTAAAAAAAGCAGCTGGTCATAGCAGTAGAAGTGTTGCAATGAAAATGGCCATAGCAAATGGAAAAAAAACATAAATAAAAATTATTTTTATATATTTTATATAATATTTTTATATATATTACAATTTTATTTTCTTTCGTACAAAAAATTGGATTATACATACAATTATATACAATTGAAACGGCCGCGTTGCGTGGAGTCAAAATGGCAGCTTTTTTCTCCCTAATTGCGGTACTTTGTAATCTAGTGACTTTAGCGCTCTCGACTCCCTCGCGTCCTCTACATATAATATTTCTATGGCAGGAACAGAAAACAAGCCTAAGGTCTGTTCTTTTCGACTAAACTGGCTGCACTAGTTCAGCAAAGGTTGTCCTTTTTGCTCGACATTGAAAGGAAAAAGATAACCTCTGAACTAGTGTAGCCAGGGGGTCGATTGTGTAATTTTTCTAAAGTGAAAATGTGAAAAGTGAAAAATTTCTTCCAATCACACATCGATTTCATTTTAAAATCAATGCGTGATTGGTGGAAATTTTCACTTTTCACGTTTTTACTTTAGAAAAAGTTACACAATCGACCCCTGTTCAGCTGAAAAGAACAGACCTATAGAATGCTAGGGTTTTTAACTAGTATACATGCTTCTTATTTTGTTCAAGGCATGTGCATGCGATTAAAAAAGGAAATAAATTTTTCATTTATATATAAATATTTTTTTCTATATATCGCCATTTATATTATTAATAATTTCCCAAAGTACGAAATAAATATCAATAATAGTGTAATTATATAAAGAATTTTGTCTAAGAGTCTCTAACCTTTTATTTTTTATTATTTAAATTTTATATGCCGGTATATATTTATATATTTGTTTAACACTAGAGTATTTAGCTTATATTTCAGATGTCAGATTATCTGATCTATATTTCTTAATGAAATTTTTTCAATTTGTGAAAATTTTATTTTGTGAAATTAATAAAATTTCAGTGACAATAGTGAAACAATATTATTTTATAATTTTTACAGGATTATTGCTACAGAACCACATAACTGTATATAATATGGACAGGACTCTAAAGAGCTTGCTGCGACTCTACCCTATAGTACGTAATTGTACAGCCTTGTCAAATTATGTAACACCGTCTCAATTGGTTTCAAGTATAAGTTCATTACGAATATATAGCACTGATTTGACAGGTAATCGAGCAATTTGGATATATAATTATGGTATAAGTATAGTACAGCAGTCTTTTTTTCCTTTCAGATTACACACAACTGGAGGACTTTACGTTGTTAACAACAAAAAGGAATCGTATATCCAATAATATCAGAATACCACACAGACCAATGAAAATCTTGGAGGAAGCAGCAACAAATTATACAAATATGACTGTGCACGATGTTGTCGATACACTGTCTACGTTATTCAGAGCATCTAAGAATGTGAGAGATGTGCAAATGATCAGAGAGCACGTAGGCTTCATACGTTTATGTGAAGTGCTGAACAAGGACATTAGATTGATGAACATGAATGATATTATTGAAAGTTTAAAAGTATTCACATATTTTCAAATTCCTACCAACAATATTTTGACTCAATCGCTATTGCAAATGATTCGCACAAACATAAATGAGATATCTCTTCGAGATATAATCTTTATAGTTTTTTTATTAAGGAAAATGGATAGAACACCATTACAAGAAGCACTACTGATAGCTCTGCCTCTGGTATTTGAAGCGCAACTGCCCACAAAGTTGGATTCGGATGATATACTTCTATTAACATGGTCCTTAAGATTTATAAGTGAAAATAATATAAATAATCCAATGATACAAGATATAATACTCAGCTCGCTGTGGAAAAATATGAAATGTAAAAATAATCTGGATGTGCAAACAGCTCGGTCCATCTTCCACAGTTTGTGCTGTTTCGAGTCTCATCTACCTCCCATAGCTTTCGACGTATTATCCAAAGTACGAACAATCCTCACAGCCAATGCAAAACAATTGAACGTTCAGGACATAATTAAGATACTGAACAAGCTGGTGTTCGTTACTGGAAAGAAGTTCGTTATAAAATTCTAATAATTTTGATATTTAATTACATTATATAATTATATTATTTAATTACATTATATAATTATATTATTCAATTACATTATATGATTACATTATAAAAAGTGAGATATTGATTACATTATATAATTGTATTATTTAATTACATTATATAATTACATTATTTAATTACATTACATAATTATAAAAAATGAGATATTCATAATTTATATTGTTACAGCAAAGAATATGGATACAAGTTCTACGATGAGACACTGGTGGATGCTTGTGTGAACTCAGCATTATCCTCAAACATCAATTTCACTAGCGGAATTCAGCTGCTCAAACTATTGAACGATCTAAATTACGCTCACATATCCCTTCTGGAATATCTAGCAGCGAAATGCTTCGAAGAGCCGAATCTATTAAAGGATGCGCCATATTTTAAACTATCCATTTTCTTGGAAGGATTCACCAATGCCGATTACAAGCCGGTATTCTGGGACACTATACGCGACGCGATATTAGCGAACGAGGTGGAGAATAGACCTTTCAGGAGATCCATGATCAGATTTGTTCTACATTTAATCGCGCTAGATTGTTATAGTCCAAAATTGCTCGATAAAGTTTTTTCTCAGAATATAAGGAGCGACAATGAAATAATGAGGAATGTTTATGCTAGAGAACTGTTACTTTTATATCAAAGTGTTAAAACATTGTATCCTATGTACAATGGATCCTGGCCACCGTACGAATTACTTGAATACGCGACTGTTGCTGCTAACCCAGTTTTTCCTACATATTCCGTAAGAGCTGCATTAGAACTAGCATTAGGTGGACCGCAGTACGTTCACAATGATGTAAGAACAAGACTTGGCCATTATATTGGTAAGTATGAGTGAACTCGAACTGAATTTTTTTTATTGCTACTAATTTGTCAAGTTAAGAAAATTCTTTTTTATTTTTTATTATTGAAATAGTTAAAAAAAATAATTTTTTTATTATTGAAATAGTTGAGAACAATAATTTTTTTATTTTATTATTATGTATACCTTTTTTATTTTTATTTTTTTAATTAATTTAATTTATTAAATAATAAATTAATTGCATACATACTCTTAAGTGTTATATAAATATATTGAAATAGTTAAAAGAAAAATAATCTTTATTTTATTATTTATAATTTTTTATTTTTATTAATTTTTTTTTAATTTAATTTATTGAATAATAAATTAATTGCATACACAATCTTAAAATTATATAGATATATATATAATTTTACAATAATTATTAAGTTATTTAGATTATGAATAATCTAAAATATTATTCGCTGTAGATCATGTTGTTGTAATGAGGAAAGGTGGATATCCTATTGCAATTAATACAGTTACGTGCAGCGAGACTAACACGATTTATGTCGAGGATATACAAACTCCAAGTGAAAGTCAAATGTAAGAACATTTCCAATTTATTTAATTAACATTATTTAATCATTTTACTCATTGCTGATAGATATTTTATATTTCAGAATGCTTATCTTCAATTTACCAGATGTTGCGTATGCTATGAATTCACAAAGATTGAAAAGTACATGGCTGCTAAAGATAAAATCTGCAGAGGCGTTAACAAAATCCAATACAATTGCAATAAATTCTGGTTCCTGGATGAAGTTACCCGAACACGAAAGGGTTCCCTATTTGATGCAAGCTATAAGACTGAAATGTGAAGATCTTTCAGTTTCAGCTAATTGAAATATTTTGTAATCAATATTATAAAATACATTGTCCCCCTAAAAATGTGAATTTATTGTAAACATTTCATATTAGATATTAGCTATTAATGTATAATAGCTTCGTAAATAAAAAAATATGTAATAGAATAATTGATTTAAAAATGTGTAAAAATAATAACACAAATGTAAAATAATACATAGCTAGAAAAAAAATGTTAATAAAAATGAGCTTTTATGATTAGCTTTTTATTATTGAATTACAAATTTTGAAATGAGATTATATATATAATAAAACAATTATTTTACAATATTTATAGTTAATGATGAAATGTATTTCTTTTAATTGATGTGTGTGTATGTGTGTATATATATATATATATATATATATATATATATATAAAATTACTTTTTACTTTCTTCCTAGTATTTAATTATAATTTATTATGAAAAGTTTGATATTAAAATATATTAATTATTCACTAAACTTTATTTTCACATTTTCATTATTAATATATATATATTAATGATGTTCTGAAAAATTGAAATTATAAGGAATTCATTGAAAATGTGAATAAAGTTTAGTGAATAATTAATATATTTTAATATCAAAATTTTCATAATAAATTATAATTAAATACTAGGAAAAAGTAATTTTAAAAATTAATAAACTTACGAAACATTATTTTAGATTTTAGATATTTACAAACTTGTCGAATTTTACAAAAATTTAATTCCAAAAAATTACTCAACTAAAGTTTATTGAAACCTTGATGAAAACTGTTGTATGTAAAATTATTGTGTAATCTTTTAAAATTAAATTTAAAACACAACACACACACAATGCAAAAATATATTTAAAAAATTATAAATTAGAATAAGTACGTGATAATGTTATTCTAATATTGGCTGATTTATACTAAAATTTTCTTTTCATTTATGTATTAGTTTTTTGGTGTAAGAAAAAACGAAAATCTTTAAAATTTTGTGAAAAATGTGTCAAAATTGATTTTTTGCTCTACATCAAAATTACATAAAAATGAAATATTATAATTTATCGAATATTTATCAATAATAATATTTAAAATATTAATTTTAAATGTCAATTTTAATTTTTAATTTTTTTATAGAATATATATATATATATATATATATATATATATATGTATATAAATAACATGTACAGAGAAAATGTTACTAAAACTAACTTTTAAAATAATAAAACTTAAGATATTTAATTTTTGAGATTTGAAAATTTTTGTAAGTTTAAAAAAATTTATATTTTGTAAAATATATAATATATTATAGTATATCAATTGATTTTTTAATTCTATATACATGTTTTTATCTTTCAAATTATAAATAAAATTTATCATGAGTAAAAAAAACAATATCTGACAATATTTAAAGAAAAAATAATCTCTATAATAATTTATTTGTACAAAAATATTTATATCATATTAACAATGAAACATATAATACTGGATTTTATAGATTTGTATCTACATATATATACATATATATTATATGTATACTTCAATAATCGGCATTTTATAAAAAAGAAAATTAAAAAAGAGAAATTCACAAATCTCAATATAATAAAAATATTCTAATCTAGTACATATATAATTTAACAATGTTATATATATGATAATATACATAAAAATATATGTAAAACATACATTTCTCTAGCTTATATAAACTTATTATAAGTAAACTTTATTGTGTTAACTTCGTTATTCTACAAGCAGGTATTTATTAAACAAGTTTTTCAACTATTATCCCAAGTAACAAACTGACGTCATTAAACGTCAAAATGACGTCATTAAATATCAAACTGACATCATTAAATGTCAAATGACATCATTAAGCGTCAAATGACGTCATTAAACGTCAAACTGATGTTATTAAATGGCAAACTGACGCCATTAAACATCAAAATGACGTCATTTTAACATTTAATAATGTCAGTTTGACATTTAATGACGTACGTTTGTTATCTGGGATGTAACTATATCATTTCTTTGATTAAGAAAGAAAAGTGTGAAGAAATGGATGAAGACTCGAAATTTGAAGCTTTATACATTTAAAAATCGTAATAAAACTCCATAGCACCAACTTAGTACCATTTTACACACAATTTCGTTAGATTCGAATATATTATCATTGATTCAAACCGAATAATTTTAACGCGTTAAAAGCGGTAGCCAGCGCAACCTGCTCCGGAGTGGTTTGCATAAACGCCGCCACCATCTCTACGATCGCAGGCAAGGCACACGGTTCGTTACGCTGGAAAGTGCAATAACGCTGGAGGAACATCGTGGACCGTTCTGTTAAAGCATCCTTTACATGCGCGGGTAACTTGCTAGCCCTGGTGTTGGGATACATGAACGGGGCGTCGGTCTCTATCAGGATCTTGTCTAAGGGCGCCTGTCCAGCTTCCAGCAGCTGTCTGATTCCGCTGTCAGATTTGTCCTTGCACAAGTAACCCGTGATACCCAAGTAGAAGCCGTGATCCAGATAGGTCTGAGCCTCCTCTGCGGTGCCAATGAAGGAATGAATTAGAACTGAAGGTAGACGGTTCTTATATTGACCCAGGACCTCTAGCACATCCTTCTGTGCACCTCTCTCGTGTATCACCAGAGGTTTGTTTAAAGTGCAGGCTAATTCGATTTGTTTGTGAAACACAGCACGTTGAATCTCCGGGGCTGAGAAGTCGCGACTGTAGTTCAAGCCGCATTCCCCAATCGCAACACATTCTATGTTATTCGCTATGCTTTCCAATTCGTGCAAAGTATCCGTGTCCTCCCAGGATTTGGCGTCGTGTGGATGGATGCCCGCTGTTGAATAGAGCGTGCCAGGATATATTCTGGTTAGCCTCAGAGCTTCCTTGCTGGAACGTAAGCTGGCACCTATCACCATGATCTTCTGCACACCAGCATCCTTCGCCCTTTGCACCACACTGTCTAGGTCACGACTGTATTTCTTATTCGTTAAATTGGCACCCACGTCGACTATAATGTAATTTTCGTAGCACTGAGTCATGGATGAAGGAACGGCCTTCTCCTCCTCAGCCATTTCTTTAGATCCCTTCTACAGGACGATAAGACTGAAAAATGTAAAGATATTTAATTTAATATCAACATAGCTTTAATCGACATGATAGATAAATCGCTCGTATCAAATGGAAAATTTACGAATTGAAATTATTACGCGATATTACTAATGATCTATAAATAAAATGAAGATATAAACTTACGTCAATCCCGAACCGTAGTACGTATTTTATATAATCGGATGTCTCCGACCTTCTGGATTTGAATTTTTTCGTTTCGATCATCGGTCACCGCTCATTTTTATTAAATCAGCTGTTACATACATTCATATCGTTACATAATCCAGTGAAAAGGAACGAAAAGAATCCAGTTTGCGTGAAACAGGCCATCGCATATCATCCCACATTCACGTATTTGTAATTTATTTTTTTTTTTTTTTTTATGTGATTAGAGTTATGATTGTTGATCGACCAACCAGACGTAAGCTACTTCATTCTGATTGGTCAATCCACAACCGTCAAACATAACTCCAATTGCACCTACATAAAGCTAGCCGACAAAAATTATAAAATATGATTATTTTCACTTTTTCTGAATATATTTCGTTTGTAAATCGTTTGTGATTAATTGTAAGTCTGTTTTTAAAGTTTGTGACAAATTAGGTTTTTTGTAATTAACAATTTTTTTTAAGGGTCGACAGGTCGGCCGGCCAAACTCCGAATTGATGTTGGAGACCTCGCGCGGTGACAACGCGAAACTCCGATTTCAGTGTTGCCAACGCCGAGAAACCAATTCTCGGGTTTTATGTAGTGGTGCATGTCTGTACACGTACATACACTATTGCATTACTCACGCAGACACACCGTAGAGAGACAAGGACCGATAATCACGTGTTCTCCTTGTTCCTCTACCGTGCCGGTATACGCGAGATGCCGCCTGAAAATGCTTTCTGGCCTTCCGTAGCAGAAGGCTGTAGCGCAGCAAGGCTAATAAGCACCCACTTTTTGGAAATTTTGTATAATGGTTATGCACATATGTGCGTATATATATATATAATATATATATATATATATATTATATAAGGGATATGTTGATTATTCTTGATTTCTTTTTGATTATTGATGCTATTGTATAATTTGCTCCAAATACTTATAACGTGGAAGAACGTTGAGTAATGTATAATCAATGCAAGGATGTTCAGTATATCATCCAGTATATAAATTAGAGTTCAATATATCATATCAATTTTTTTATAATATATATATATATATATATATATATATATATATATATATATCCAATAGAACAAGAATCGGATCGACGTCGATTAGACGTAAATAACGTCTATAACTTTTTCAGTTCAAATTAGACGTCGACTAGACGTCGATATTAGTGTAAAACAATCAGGAGAAATCAATAAACATTTCATTTAATCCATAATAATATACTGTTTCATGTAAAAAACATATATTTAAAATTTTATATACGGAATATATATGTGATTTATATATATATATATTTTTTTTTTTTAAATGATGTATAATTTCTCTTTGTGTGTGTAATATATTAATTAATTATAAAAATAAAGTAAATTAATTATTATATATATTATATATATATATTTACTAATTATGTATGAGGAAATTTATATGAAAATATAACTTTAATTATTTAAATGATTGGTTCGATAACGCTTATTTTGATTTAACTGTCGTATAAAAGATAAGTTGCGAGTTGCGACACCGCCTTGCGACTAAATATAGTACCAACTTAACGCAACGAGTTAACGAACTCATTCTGTTATTGTTCCGTGATCGATGATCATTCGTTGAAGTTCGTTGAATGTTGAACTGTGCTTGTGATAATATTTGTTCTTCTGGAGGCCTATTCTGTAACTTTAACAAATGCGTTATAACTGTAACGCATGCGTTAGTCGTCGTATCGTCGACGAATTCATGGTTAACAAATGAATTATAGTTATAACGCATGCGTTAAAAGTTACAGAATAAGTCTGCTGGATCGATTGCTATTCTAATAAAAGAAGTCATCACCAACAAAAATGAGTGAAAGTCCACCGGTAAGTGCTTCATAATTTATAATTTCTTAATAATCTACATTTTACTTGTGCCTCAAGTCGTCTGTAGGTTATAATTGTTTCATAAATAAATTACAATTTTCATATAAATAGTTCATAATTTATATATATATTAATAAATTATTTTGATTTATTTAATTAAAAATATTGTATGCTCTTATATATACACTTTCTTTAACTCCTCTTTAACTAACCTCAACATATACGGAATTATTAATAATAATATTGTCACTATTGCTTCTTTTTGCTATTATTTATTTAAAGTTTATTATCAAAATTTATTACATAACATTATTGTGAATGCAGTATAAGCAATATATTTTAGTACTGATGTTGTTCTTGTATTATTTTTACATCTATCATAGGAAAGTAGGAATCGTCGTAGAAATACGAACAAGCAAATAATTAATGAATTAGTTAGGCAATGTAGGAATCAAAGAAAATTGGACGATTTAAGAAATCGAATTACTACTGTCTACAAGACAGAGGCTTCATCCGATGAAGAGGTTTCATCGTGTGATGAAGAGGTTTCATCCAATGGAAGGTTTCATCCGATGAAGAGAATAATGAAATGCTGCCCATTCCAGGGATTGAAGATATTTCTTTATTAGAAACAAATTCTGAAGTATCAACAGAATCTGATGCATCTATCGATCAACTTGAAAATGAAAATATGGATGATAACAATAATTATATAATGACAATGACAGTGAATTACATTTTGAAGATGAGAATAATGACAGCGAAGAAGTGTTGAAATTAATGATGCTAACAGATATAGTAACGATGAAGAAAATGATGATTTAATGATTGAATTTGAAAATGACGAACAGAGAGGACGCTATGTTTAAAAACATTGAGGGAGTGGGCCCTTGAAGGAGGTGTGTTATCTATGAAGAAGTTAAATGATTTACTTCGTAGATTGAGAGTATTGTTTCCCATCTTACCTAAAAGCTACAAAACCGTTAGGTGATAATGAAAAAATTGTAGCATCAAGACTTATGACCAAATTGATGACTAATTCCTTAGCGAAACAATTCAACTTTGATGGTCATAATCCTCAAAAGGCTAAGTTAATAAAAGGCCATTAAGAAACTGAAACTATGGGAATTATTCAAGGTATTTTATCTTTTTTCATATTTTGTTTCATCTTAAGTTTATTGTAGAAAAAATTCATAAATATTTCTTTTTTTCTAGGAGTTATGCTATTAAAATTTCCTACCAGTGATTTGGAAGATGCCTTAATGCAGTCAGAAATGGCTACGAAACGCTGCTGGGCGTAAGCAATAAAATGTGCAATTTCATTTTTTTATTTTAACAGAATCTAATGTATAAGAAAAGCAGAGGTAAAAAGTGCTCGCATACGAGAATATTGCGTTGTGATATCTTATTATTCTTAGACGACTCTTTACAAGGTTTTTCTCGATACAAATTAGCACGGGGGAGGTTTCCCATTAAAGGGAAGAGGTCATTTAATATTCGTCATAAAATGCAATTAATTATTTTTTTCTTGAATGTGAAATATGATCTCTATTCATGTGCAATTTGCGAAGTCTTATGTCATTTTATTTTGTTATTGTATTTTTGATTGCTGCTTTATTTGAATATTATTTGTCTTATTTTTTATTTATGTAACTGATAAGACATTGTCAGGTTTAAATTTGATTTGAATTATTACATATAAGTTTTTAGTTGAAGTATGTATATGTAGAATATATATGTACACTAATAAAGAATGTATATATATATACATATATAAAATATATATATTTATAATATATATATATCAAGACACGATAAGATGGCATATACTGGAGTTTTCAGTATGTCAACAAAGATTATCCTGTATTGAAATTGTCCAATACATATTAATAAAAAATAGATATAAGGTTAATAATACATATAAAATTATTTTCTAAAGTGTCTTTTCCATCCTTTCAGTTTCAATTATATAAATATATGTATAACAATCTAAATACCAAGATCCAAATAATTTTAGTGTTGGTTCTATTTTTTCATTCGTAAATTAAAAAGGTAATGTAAATTTCTAAAGAAAAATATATTGCATGCATCCAATATTACAATTCAATGAATATTTACTGAGCAATTTGTTTTGATTAGAATATTACATTATTCTATATTTTACAATAAAAAAATATACTTAGAATTAAAATAAAATGTTCACTGAATGGTGTACGTAATACTGCACTTATTGCCTGCGTTCGCAGCAGAGAAAGTAGAAGTGTCTGTTGTAAAATTATTGAATTTGAGTATTGTATGAGCTTAGGTTAGTCAAAACTAAAAGCATACGCCAATTATACGCCATTATTAGATTCATCAATTTTACAACATTGCAACGCTACTTTTCTGCTGAATACAGCCGTTACATCAATTATTTAGATGTCTATTAGACATTTTATAGACGTTTATATTAACGTCTAGATGGTGTCGAAATTCAAAGATTTGTCCGTCTATATAGACGTCAAATTAGATCTTACTTAGACGCATATAAAAGACATCGATTCGACGTCTTTTCAACATGCCATTTCTCCCTGGGATA